TCTTATTCTCCTTTCAAATCACACTCATACTCAGAAAATCACAATATACTCGGAATATCATATCTAAGGTTTTATTGTGCGATGCCGTTTATATTGTCATCGAAGAAAAGTGAAATGGATCCTTCAATCGCATGGATAGCACACACACATAAATTTCACAATGGTCATAGTAGGTACGTTTACTAAATGACCCACTCACAAACACCTATCCACGTTTGGACTGAGTTTCAAACTCTCTCCATGTGCAGGTTCACCATACTTACTGAACTTCAGCCACACATGCAACCTCCCCTCCTCGATTCAGACTAAACGAGTAGGTATCCAATGTTCTTACACTCTACACTATTTTTAAATGTCTATCATTTCTAATTTATTATTTCATACTTAAAATCTCAATTTTACGCATAATAAAACACAAACACACAGACAATACACGATATCATCACGCATATCAGAACCATACATTTCTCAAACTACTTTCTGATTCATCCTGTATCATATCACACAGTAAGCACAAGATACTCAGATTCTTCGCGCAACTGTACTAGATCACACAGCAAGTACAGTGCGTCGTATATCTACACCAGATCATACAGCAAATGCAGTATACCCAAATTTCACACGTACTAGTTATACATTTCACATGTATAACATATGTACACACACATATATATTACAATGCTGACATGTATCTTCATTACATGTCTCAAACGGAATATATACTTATATTCACACACACACACACACACACAATTTCTACAGATATATACGTACACGTTCATACTTAAACATATACACATAATCACACACAACATATCATATACATATTTATTCACATATTTGTTCTTATCAGTTTTGTTATTATCAATTCTGTTCTTATCAATTCATATCACATTCATCGTATATTTTTATATACAGATACATACATGCGTAACAATACATATATATATATATACACACACATGAACACAAACAAATACAAATTAGACATACTAATTATATTTCTATTATACTACACATACATTTAAACGTTCACACACAATGAACTCTATATATACATATATATATAAACATATAATTAATGTCTCCGTACGGAATACACATAATTCTTACATATAGTGTGATCAAGAAAGTTTTGGAAATATTTATTATCTCGATCTACAGTCCTCTCGAAAATTCAAATACCATTTGGATAGTTTTTCTTGTTTATAATAGAAAATACATAAATTAAATTATGAATAATTTTAAAAATTATATTATGCGAAATTAAAAATAAATTTTACTTTCATACACGTGATCTTGGTCGCTAACGCCACCACACACCATCACACACGTGTCACCGAAAATGTCAGGAGCTGATGATCGAATTAGCACGCATTGTCGCATCAGCGCACCAACATCATATTTCGTCGTGACCCTTTCATTTTTCTTCCTTAATTAATTTTTTTTCTTCTTTTTTTTTCTTTTTTTTTTCCTTTTCTTTTTTTTCTCTTTTCCTTTTTTTTTATTTTTATCTTTTCTTCTTCTTCCTCCTTTCCCGTGGGTTCCTCTCTTTTTTTTCGTTTTTTTTTCTTCTCTTCTCTCTCTCTCTCTCTCTCTCTCTCTCTCCCTTTCTCTCTCTTCTTCTCCTTCTTCTTCTCTTCTTATTCTTCTTCTTTCTTTTCCTTTTCTTTTTCCTATTCTTCACGCGACATCTCCCCTTCCGCCACGTCCCACCTTCGCAATTACCGCTCACTCCTCCTCACGCAACCAAAACTCCTCCCCTCACTCTGCTCTCTCGGCCCCGATGTCGTTTGGCCCGCTCTCTTCTCTATCTATTTTTTTCTTCTTTCTCCCTTTTTTTTTCTGCTATTTTCTTACATATATATACATATACATATATATATATGCGGCTTAAGTCTTCCACCTCCTTTTCTTTTTTTTTTCTTTATAATTAATTTTGTATATTATTTCTTTTTATTTTTTATTTTTTGTTTTATCTTGTTTTTCTTTTCATTATAATTAATTATTTATATGTTTTTTTCTTTTCTACGTCGATATAATTAAATAAATTATATACACGTATATATAATTAAAAGTGTAAGTACATGAGAAGCCAGGGATGAAGATAGTTTGCGGAGTGTAAGACTCTTTGGTGTCAAGTTTAAAAGAAGAATAATAATAAACTCTAGAGAAGTAAAAGAAGAAAAATGATAAAACAAAAGCTAATTTAGTAAATAAAAAAGAATATTAAAAATATAATAAGAAAAAATAATCGAATCATTATAAAATCACTGAATCGGTAATTTAAAAAAAAAAAAGTCACAGTATTAAGAATTATAACTCA